GATTGAGTGAGTTATTTTTCTTTTTATATAATATCAGGCATTTAGATTTTTTCGGATTTAACTGAAGACCATTAATTCCCGCCCATTCACTGATTTTGAACAGATCGTCATTACAGACACTAACACATTCTTTTATTCTTTTTAAAGGACGACTTACATATAACTGGACTTCATCTGCGTACATGTGAATCTCGCAATTTGACACGAAACATGGAAGGTCGTTAACATAAATAGAAAATAACAGAGGCCCTAACACCGATCCCTGTGGGACACGATTTATTGACATAAAAGACGAAAAACTACACGAGGTGACAACTGCTTGATGGCGACCGGATAGGTACGATTGCACTAGACTTATTGCCGAGTCAGAGAAGTTGAAGAGTCTTTTTAGTTTTGTGCTAAGTATGGTATGGCTTACCGTGTCAAAAGCTTTAGAATAGTCAAGAAGTGTAAGAAAAGTTACATTACTGTTGTCGACTTGCTTGCGAATGTCCTCTGTAATTTTTAACAGTGATGTTATGCAGCTTCTATTCTGTCTAAAGCCCGATTGTTTGTCAGTTAATAATGAGTTTCCTATCAAGAAGTTAGTAATTTGGGTAGCCATTAGCTGTTCAAATGCTTTTGAGAGAAATGGAAGAATGGAAATTGGCCGAAATTCATTGTCTCCCTTAGGTATAGGGATTATTTTTCCGAATTTCCATTTGTACGTAAAACATGAGGTTGTAAGAATGGAGCTAAAAATATATGTAATATGCTTTAAGATTTTAGGGAGTAAAAATTTGAAACATTTTGGGTGAATTTCATCAAGACCAGTGGCGTTTGTCTTCACTTTGACGATGGAATCTAAAACATCACATTGACGTACACACATAAAACTAAAACTAATATCACAATTTATCGGCGAAGTATGGTTCAGGTACGCGTTTTCGTGGACTTCAGGTACATCTAAATGTACAAATTTGCTATTAAGCGCATCTACGTTTACGTCAGATGTTAAAGAAGGTTTACATTTCCCAATCCCTAACTTTTTTAGCTCAGTCCAAACCTGATTTGATGATAGGGCTGATTTGAATTTGGCAGAGTAAAGGGCACGTTTGGCATTTGTAATCTTCAGCCCTACTATTCGTCTAAGTTTTTATACTCTGTACGTGAAATGTACAGAAGTATATTAGGTTTGCGGGAGCTGAAAAATGTAACAGGCAGAAGGAGGCGTGGCAGACCCCACAAAGTATATATATTCTTGATCAGCATGACGAGACGAGTCGATCTAGCCCTGTCTGTCTGTCCGTCTGTCCGACTGTCCGTCTGTCCGTCCGTATGAACACCTGGATCTCAGAGACTATAAGATGTAGAGACACCAAATTTTGCACAAAGATGCGTTATGTGTGTATTCTATACGAGTTTGTTTTATTTTTTTGATTTTCCCCCCCACTTCCCCCCTATGGGGGTTTTCCCGATTTTCCATTCGTATAATCGCCTATATCTCGGAGACTATAAGACCTAGGAACACCAAATTAGTCCCAGATGCCTTGTGTGAATACGCAGAAAATGTATATTTTGGAATACCCCTCCCTCCCCCCTCTACCCAACAAATCGTAACTCCCGTAATTCTTGGAATTTCGAAAACCCCCAGTTGGTTATTATGTGTCCGTATGCCAAATTTCACTATGATAGACCGATTTAACGAGAAGTTATAGCCATAAATATATTTGCTGCTGCAGCGCTGCCCGCGGCTGTTGTTGATGTTGCTGTTTGGTTGACTGCGAAAATGCTTACACAGACACGAATAGATGCGCATAGGCATACATACACTCACACAGACGCAATTGCTATGTAAATGTGCAATTATAAATCCTTTACGTGAGTTCGAATACCGAGAGAGGTAAAATCGATCAAATTTTTTTTTTATTTTCTTAATTTTTTTATTTTCTATAATTATTGTAAACATATGTACAGAGTATTTCAAAGTCGGGACACCCGACTTTTTACTTGTTTATAATGGAATAGGTAGACCGCAGTCCTATAGCGTTTCCACTTTTTGTATGCATGATCTCGGCTTTTTATTGCACAACCGATATCTCTACTGAACCATTCGTTTTCGACTGGCTTGATTACTTTGTATCGCAGTGGCACAAAGGTATTAAAAATATGCTGGATGTGTGTATTGAATAGTTCAAGCTGCTCGTCAACAGTGGGCTTAGTAAATATTTCGTCAAGGTTTAAGTTATCACAGTATTCATACAATAGCCTATGGTCGATATTCCTAAAGTCCCTAAAAGAGATTGCGTGGTTACTTTGATCTTTGTAGATGTCATACGTCAAGAAAATCATGTCGTGTTTAGAGAAGGCTGGTGCTGAAAGCTGGTCAAATAGGATAGCTTTTTTGGTGCCATTAACAAAAAATACGTCAAGGAGGGTATCACAAGTGTTGGAGAAGTGCGTCGGTAAAGTAGTGTTTACTAGTCCCATGCCAAGAGAGATCATATCTTCCCTCAGGTGATGTTCAGTTAACATATTGCTGTTAAAATCTCCAGCTAGGACAATATTGTTGTGTTTTAGAGAAACCGAGTGAAATGTGTTCATGAAATCGCTATAGTCCGTTAACTTGTTTGGTCTATAAGCACATCCGACAAGGATGCTTTCAGTATTGCTGTGAGTTGGTATTTTCAAGAACAGATATTCAATATTGCTTCCCAACGGCTGTTTGCTAATCATCTGACATTTCAGACTGTTTTTTACAAATATGGCCACACCCCCGCATGCCCCTCACGATCAGAACGATAAACATTATACCCATCACAACATATAGATTGATCATTAAGACTAGAAACAAATCACGTTTCAGACACACAAACTACATCGACGTTGGAATTGACAAATAAATATCTAAACTCATACATTTTTTTAACAAGACTTTGTGCGTTGAGGTGGCACATATGTAGAGCCTTCTTTTGCTTGCATAGAACTCGAATAATAGTTCGACTGTTCGCTGTGGACATATGACTTAGGTCATCTGGCATGGATTCAGAAAAGCAATCAGACGCCCACGCATTTTACAACTACATTTACAATTAAGGGTATATAGAAAGAGCAATTTAGCAATTTAAAATGAAACTTAAAACTTATATTATTAGTAAAAGCTAGTATTGGTTTCCAGAGCAGAATTAGAGTCAGAGGGAGTGCGAAACTCACGCTCATTACAGTGAGCGAACTTTAAAAGCTCGTCTCTGCTTAGTATGGGCTTCGCACTCTCATTCTCCCTGCGCTTCACGTGTACAGTTCCTCTTCGTGAGAAAACAGCAACTACATGCTTCTGCTTCTTAAGCTTTATCGCTTCTTTTAAGATATTGTAGTTGTCCCTTGTTAGCTGGTCATTAATGTATATGGGGGCCGGAGAGTCGAAGCCTAACATTTGCAAGTTCAGTGGCTTTTTATGTTCGCGACGGTATGCTGCGGCTGCCTTCAGCAACGTGGATTTTTCTCTCGAATTTTCAAATTTAATAATAATGTCGGGATCGATTTCAGATACCTGTTTTCCGAGCACGAAAGATTTCACGTTTTCTCGGCGGTGGTGTGATGTGGATAGCAAAGCAAAGGGTATTGTATAATGTACGCATATTTTCACCCTCCACGTGTGGAACTCCATGCACACGTATATCACAGGCGGCATTGCCGTTAAGCTGCGCAGCGAGCTTCGCCTCCAACACCCTAACCCGCTGCCTTAACGTAGGCAGATCTCCGACCTCGCGCTCCATAATGTTCATCCGCTCATTTAGACTGTCCACCCTGTCATGAAGTTGCTTCACTTCACCGGCCAAATGGTCACATCGGTCCAGCAGCGCGTTGAGGATGCGCTGCTCAGCATCTCCCATCTTAGTGGTGATTAGGCTGGCCTGCTCCTCAAAACGAAGATTGATCATGGCCAGTATCTTTGCTGAAATTGCTCTTTGAGGTCAGTGGTGGTGTTTTCACGCGCGCGTTTGTTTGGTTGCGGTGCCATATTGTTAAGTGTAATTTGAGTTGGTTTTTATGATGTGTTTTCTTGAGTGAATGGTTGAGCGATAATGCAATTATGCTTTGTGTGACTTTAGCTGAGTGTGAGTGTTTACGTATTGGTGTTGTAAAGTCTGTTTGTGTAACTTTGCGGGAGCTGAAAAATGTAACAGGCAGAAGGAGGCGTCTTGATCAACATGGCAAGACGAGTCGATCCAGACCTATGTGTCTGTCTGTCCGTCTGTCTGTCTGACCGTTCGTCCATATGAACACCTGGATCTCATAGACTATAAGAGCTAGAGACACAAAATTTTGCACAATGAAGCCTTATGTGTGTACGCTATACGAGTTTGTTTTATTTTTTTTGATTTCCCCTCCACCACCATACCCCACCTATTGGGGATTTTCGGAAACGCCATTCGTACAATCACCTATATCTCGGAGATTATAAGACTAAGGGGCACCAAATTTTAGACAAAGATGCCTTTTGTGAACACGCAGAAAATGTGTATTTTGGAATTTCCCTCCCTCCCCCCTCTCCCCCGCAAATGCGATTTTCTCTAACTCCCGTAATTCTTGGAATTTCGAACTAAAATTTTGCAAATACCCCCAGTTAGTAATTATGTGTCCGTATGCCAAGTTTCACTATGATAGACCGATTTACCAAGAAGTTATAGCCATAAATATATTTGCTGCTGCAGCGCTGCTCAAGCGCTGCCCGCGGCTGTTGTTGATGTTGCTGTTTGGTTGACTGCGAAAATGCTTACACAGACACGAATTGATGCGCATAGGCTACATACACTCACACAGACGCAATTGCTATGTAAATGTGCAATTATACACCCTTTACGTGAGTTTGAATACCGAGAGAGGTAAAATCGATAAAATTTTTTTTTTATTTATTTTTTTTTTTATTTTCTATAATTATTGTAAACATATGTACAGAGTATTTCAAAGTCGGGACACCCGACTTTAGCTTTTTTACTTGTTTGTGTTGTGCATTATAGCAAACGGAGAATCTGTTACCACGCCTCTGGCTGATGCTATTAAAGTGCAATTCTACAAGCGCAAGGTAGAGTCGCTTTATCAATCCGTGAAAAAGAAGCATAGTGCCATGGATGGTGATAAGATTACCATTTTGAACTACGACGAGTTGACCACTTATGACAATATTCTCGATAAATTGTGGTCATCATTTAATTCAGTGCATGAAGAACTCGAGGAATTATGTTTCGAGGAAATTGACAGTCAGTTGCGAGAGGACTTTTGTTAACTAGAACTAACGTCTGCAGACGCGAATTAAATCTCAAATTCGTCTGCGCAACTCTCAGTGGGGCGATTTCGTTTCAATTATATTAGGTTTGCGGGAGCTGAAAATGTAACAGGCAGAAGGAGGCGTGGCAGACCCCACAAAGTATGTATATTCTTGATCAGCATGACAATACAGGTCGATCTAGCCCTGTCTGTCTGTCCGTCTCTTCGTACGTCCGTCCGTATGAACATCTGGATCTCAGAGACTATAAGAGCTAGAGACACAAAATTGTTTTATATTGTTTTATTTTTTTGATTTTTCCCCCACTTCCCCGATAATGGGGTTTTTCCGAAACGCCGTTCGTATAATCGCCAATATCTCGGAGACTATAAGACCTAAGGACATCAAATTTGAAGTCCAAGATGCCTTTTGTGAATACGCAGAAAATATGGTTTTTGGAATTTCTCTCCACCTCCACTCACCCCCGCAATTCAAGATTTTCCATAACTCCCGTAATCCTTGGCATTTTTTACTTAGATTTGGCAAATACCTCCAGTAAGTGATTATGTGTGTACTACGTTTCATTATAATAGGCCGATTTATCAGGAAGTTATAGCCATATATATGTAAGCAGGCAAGTTACAGGCGATCAGGCGACACACCAAAAGCGACAAAGCTACAAAGCGGAGGGACAACAGACACAAGAGAAGAGCAAGTCGTTAGAAGCAGTCGAGAGAGAACAGTCGTTGCAGAGAGTCGTCGTGAATGGTCGTCAGTCGAAGAAGTTGTCAACGCCAACCGTCGTGAACATATTAATCATATTGAATTGAATTGAACTGAATTAATTGAACTATTGTTATAATTTGTACCATTTTTAAAATATATTGTACTTAACATAACTTTACATATGGGGGCTCGTCTCGGTCAATTCTCGGTTAATATTTCCTTTAGTGCGTGTAAAAAACGATTGATCAGTTTGTAAAAGTGGACATTGACAAAAGTTGCAAAAGCAGAAGTTTGGCCGATTGACAAAAAAAATATGAAAGTTGCTAAAGTTGTTTAAATTGATCGGTCAATGCAGAAGCTAAAAGTTTAAATGTTGTAAAGTTGCTAAATTTGTTTAAATTGATCGGTCGATGCAGAAACAGAAAGCAGAAAAGTCGTTAAATTTGCAAAAGTTGTGAAATTCGGCAGTCGAACATTCAAGGTCTTTCTACGTCGTATTGTCAGCATGGCGCCAGCATCATACGATCGAGCGAAAAGTTACAGTTATATACCCGCAGTTGTGAAATAAAAAACAATTAAAGCGAAACTATGACCAAGGTCAAACGGACGCCGGCAAAGAAGGACGCAAAAGTAAAAGAACAAAGTGATGAAATGCAGGAAGCTGTTGGCTTAGTACCGCAAGAAGTTGTTATTGTTGAACAAGATCAGGGTGACCAGTTGTGTGAAAAGAAGATAGAGCAGCAGTTGTGTGAAAAGAAGATGGAGAAGCAGCAAGAAGGTATAGAGTGCAAAATTCAGCAAATGTTGCAGTTGCTAACACTGAAAGTGGAAATCGATGAAAAGAGAGAAAATGAAAGAGTGAAAATCCTTATAGACAGTTTTGACAAAGTTGTGTGTGAATGTGATGGGTATACAGTTCCGATAGATAAATGGTTTGAAATGTTTGAAAAGAATACAAATGCCTATGATTTGTCCGATATGCAGAAATATGTACAAGCTAGAAATAAAATGTGTGGTGCCGCCAAGCTATTTTTAGAGTCTGAAACAGTCGGTGACTACTATGAATTGAAAAGAGCATTAGTAGAAGAGTTTGAATGTAGCCTAAATAGTGCAGATATACATCAGCGGTTGCAAGAGCGGAAAAAGAAAAAAGACGAAACCTTTCACGAATACATGCTACAGATGAAAAAATTAGCGTCAGTCGGTAATGTGGAAGATGCGGCAGTTATTCGCTATATTGTTGATGGTTTGTTTATAAAAGCTGAATATATAGGTGCGCGATGTATCGTTGTAAAACATTTAAAGCATTAAAAGAGGAATATGACATTTTTGACCGGCTGAACTCAAGTGAGCAAAAGCAAAACAAACCGAAGCAGAATTCAAATATAAAAAACGTGGTAGATCAAAGCGCAAAGAAGGACCATTGCTTTAATTGTGGCTCATCTGAGCATAAACGTAAGGATTGCACAGCTGCTGTAAAATGAAGTGTAATCAAAGCGGTCACATATCTAGTAGTTGCCCTAAGAACGAAAATAAAGTGCGTGTTGTTGTTGATCGCCGCCGTGTGAAGTTGGCCTGGATAAATAGTACAAAAGTAGAGTGCCTTGTGGATACCGGCTCTGCCGTTGACATTCTAAAGAGTTCATCCACGTTGCGAGGCTTGGGCAACATAGCAACGAAACCTGTTGGGTTCTTCATAGCCGAAATAACAGTAGATGGTCTGCACACAAATCAGAAGTTTATGGTGGTCCCAAGCTGCAAAGTCGACTACGATGTACTGTTGGGGCATGATTTTTATCGAAAAATTCCGCTTGACTGTCGATTCGAAGGGCTATGCGTTTGAGGCCCTTGAAGCGCAGCAGATCTCTGACGATAAGTATGACCTAAACATTTACAATGTTATTGAAGTCCCATCTATTACAGCTCCGCCTCAGTTCTTGAAGAGTGTAGAGCAGTTAATAGAAAGCAGCACCCAGATGCCACCAGATGAACCAAAGCAGTGTCCGATCACTATGAAAATTGTCCCGGACACAGTTGTCCAGTCGTTCCGTCATTCGCCAAGTCGTCTATCGGCTGATGAATCAGATGCAGTGAAAAAGCAAGTGGACGAGTGGCTTGAGCAAGGTGTAGTGCGCAAGTCAACTTCGAACGTGGCAAGCAGAGTAGTCGTTGTGAAGAAGAAAGATGGCACACTACGAGAATGCGTCGACTACAGAAAGCTGAACAAGATGGTACTCGACGATTGTTTCCCTGTGCCACTAATGGAGGAGGTCTTAGAGAAGCTTCAAGCTGCCAGATACTTCACCATCATGGGCCTCGAGAATGGGATCTTTCACGTACCAGTGGATGAAGAAAGCAGAGCTTTCAAGGCGTTTGTAACCAGAGAGGGCCTTTTCGAGTTCAACAAAGCGCCATTTGGGTTTAAGAACTCACCAGCCGCTTTCATTCGCTTTGTGAACTACATATTCCAAGAGCTGATCAACGAAGACATAATGCAGTTGTATATGGATGACATTATTGTCTACCCTAAAACACCAGACGAATGTATGCAGAAAACTAAGATGGTCATAGAGACAGCATTCCAGTATAAGCTGAAAATAAAATGGAAAAAATGCAGCTTTCTTCAGTCGCGTATAAGTTTTCTTGGACATTTTGTCGCAGATGGGAAAATATGGCCTGGAAGAGAGAAAACTACAGCCGTTATTCGTTTTGCTGAGCCGCATAACATTAAAGCCGTACAGGGGTTCCTTGGGCTTACCGGATTTTTCAGGCGATTCATTCCTAAGTACGCTCACATGGCTCGCCCGCTAACGAATCTTCTAAAGAAGGATACTGAGTTTATAATTTCTGGAGCAAGAAGACGTCTAATGCAGACTGCAAGAGGCACAGTTACATCCTAGAAGTGAAAGCAGCTTACCTCGCCCTGAAGAAATTTCGACACTACATTTTAGGAATACAGTTTAAGTTGGTAACAGACTGTATTGCCTTTAAGCAGGCAATACTTTACGTTTGATGTTGAACACCGCTCAGCTGATAGAATGAAACATGTTGATTACCTCAGCCGCAACCCACAATCATGCTGTGTCGCCAGTGCAGAGATCCTACCTCAGTTAAAGAAAGCGCAGCAGAATGATGAGCACATTAAGGCAGTCGCAGAAGTCCTTAAAGAACGCCCCTACCAAGACTACAAGCTGAAAGGTGGCATTCTCTACAAGTGCGTCAGCGGAAATGAACTGTTCGTGGTTCCAAAAGGGATGGAGCGCGAAGTAATACAAGAAGCTCACGAAGTTGGTCATTTCGCAGCGCAAAAAACCATGCACTATATTCAACAGCAGTATTGGATCCCACATTTAGAGCATAAAGTTGCAAAGTTCGTCGCCAATTGCATAAAGTGCATAATAAGTAACAGAAAGTTGGGAAAGCAGGAAGGCTTGTTGTACTGTATAGACAAAGGAGATACGCCCCTCCATACGCTGCACGTTGACCACTTGGGGCCATTGGATGCGACGTCTAAACAGTACAAATATATCTTCGCAATGGTGGATGCTTTTTCAAAATTTGTATGGCTGTTTCCCACAAAATCTACTGGACAAGAAGAAGTCGTACGTAAGCTAAAAAGTTGGTCTGATGTTTTTGGGTTTCCAAGGCGCATTGTAAGCGACAGAGGATCGGCATTTACATCAGTTGCATTCAGCGAGTTTCTGAACCAATACCAGATTGACCACGTGCGTTGTACTACAGGAGTAGCCAGAGGGAACGGGCAGATAGAGCGCGTTAATCGTTCTATTTTGTCAGTCATCACAAAATTGTCGATTGATGAAACGTCGAAGTGGTTCAAACATGTGGCGCAAGTACAGAAAGCTATTAATTCAAACGTGAATGCAAGCACCAAGGCTCCTCCGTTTGAAGTCATGTTTGGTACAAAGATGAACAACAAAGTCCAGGATCGCGTTTTGGAGATACTAAATGAATACAACATCAAGCAGTTCGATGATGAGCGCCTAAAATTGCGTCAGCTGGTTAAAAATAACATTAAAGATGCACAACGAACCTATAAGCGCAATTTCGACAAAAAGCGTAAACGAGAGCATGGCTATAGCGTCGGCGATCTTGTTGCAGTAAAAAGAACGCAGTTTGTTGCCGGTCGCAACTCTGCCACAGAGTTCCTGGGTCCGTACGAGGTAACGAAGGCTAAGAGAAACGGCCGTTATGAAGTCAAGAAAGCAGCAAACGTCGAAGGTGCAAATGTTACGGCTACAAGCGATGAAAATATGAAGTTATGGAGGTATGTGGCT